ATACCAAAATCTTCATAAAATTTATGAATAAATGAATGCCATATTTAAAACTAAATAAGTTGGTTTCAGTTCCCATACATTTTCTCGCAATCTAAACTAAATAATACATTGAATTCAATGCAGTATAAAGCTCATACATAAATAATTAAATAAATAAATAAATAACCTGGCAAACGCATAATAGAAAAATGTTCCAGGAAAGAAAAAAAAAAATAAATACAATGTTTCGCCTCACTGCAGGTACTGAGAGGCGTGTGTAAAACCCCAAAGCTGCAAAATATAAGAGCACTAGATAAGTAATAAGAGTTAGTTTAGTTATTCGAACAAAGTTACTCACAAACACAACTCGATTCGGTTCGTGAACAACTCGTTCATTAAACAAGCCGCGCTTAGCTCGTTTACTGTCTAATAGGTTTCGAACGAATAGCAAGCTGAGCATATTTGCAAACGTACAAATCGTGCTGGTAAACCGAGTCGACTCGTTTATTAAGCAAAGCTCAAAACACAAAGTGCTCAGCTTGTCTCAATTTGGTAAACCTAGCTGATAAGCTAGCTTATAGTGAATTTTGAGCTTATAGCTGATAGCTTATGACTTATGGCTGAAAAGCTAGCTTATTGATAAAAGTGTTTGGCAAGTAAGTTCATAAGCTAGCTGAAATAAAAATTTCAACGAGCTTATTTGAAAAGCTACTCAAGGAAGCTTATGTATAGATAAGCTCGAGCTTTTTTGAAAAGCTTGTCCTTGCCAAACCATTTGAATACATAAAACTTATAAAATACGTTATAACCTAACTTATATGCTTATCAAACACAGTCATAATATAAAACAAAAGCATAATTGCAAAAGATACCCTTGAAGTTAGGCCAAATAGCACCAAAAAACAATTCTCCGAAAAATTCGAATATCCAGATTAATGTATTACGATACCACATTCATATACATTTTTTAAAAAATACCCTCTATTACGGGGTTAATTTGTAAATACAGAAATAAAATCCAAGGAAGATTTATAACTATAAAAAAAACAGCTAGATTTTTCCACAATTAGACTTATCTTCAAGGGTATCTTTCGAAACTAATCTGAAAAACAAAATACCTCTACATTCTTTAGTTCAAACTCTTGATTATGAGCTAAGCATGAGTTGCCAAATGTTTCACAAGGGCCACTTGTTCCAGATAATCTACAGTGAAGAATCGAGTTTACAATCATATATTCCCAACTTATTAAATTATAAAATAAAAATTCAATCTTGGAATATGGAAGAACTCACAAATCTTCATTCAAGGATAACGCGAAATTCGCACCACCCCCAAGTGCAATCAACTCATTTAAGCACAGATAAAAGTATCTGTTCGCACCTAATTAAATTGTAAACGAAAATCAATATTTGAGGAGCATTTTTATTAAGGAAATTAATAAATCTTTTGTAAGTTAATATGAAATTTATCAGCATCGATATGGTTGAGCTTACCAGTTGGTCTAAACAGCCTCGGTTCGCCATACAAGGTTGTGAAGACGAAACTCTGATTTGTCCCCTGTCAGATAAGTGCACAGGATTTTTAATTTTAATTGTTTTAGTGGGATTAAATAAATATAATTTTATATATAAAAAATAAAAAATAAAATAAAAAGATGTTTCGTGTTTTTATCAAGTAAATTGACACGTTGATCTAAGTTTTGAAAAGGATTTGAACATACTTGATATCTCCTTTTCGAAGTAGGCTTCAAGGGGCAGTCAAGTAATCCACCAAATACAGCACCTTGTTTATCTCCAGTTATCTACAAGCGGCAAAATTAGAGTTCGATTATTTTCTTCCAGAAGAAAGAGGCTAAGAGAGAATGTAATTTTGCACAGGTAATAAATATTGATAATAATAAAAATGCCGATATTATTACCAATAGGCAAGGACCACTAAGGCATGTGCTCTTCCGGACAAGGGTGTGAAGTGATATGCCATCTCTTACAGTACTGCCCTTCATTCAGTAAATTATAAGGCAGCCATCAAAATCTTAAAGTGCAAACCACAAAGTCTCGACATTTTTTTTATCTTTTCTCAGAAAGTAATAAATACAACCTTGCTTGATATTAGTTTCTATTAGGCAAAAATGCATTTTAGTCATGTTGGTTTAACGCCATAGCAATTTTAATCCCAAGGTTCCACCTTTTTGCCTTGTGGTCCCTTGTGGTCCTGTGGTTTAATATTTTGTTGTAATTTCAGTCATTTGTTATTTAATATCTTGCTGCAATTTCAGTCATTTGCAATTTTAGGACTGAAATTACAGCAAAATATTCAATTACATACTGAATCGCAACAAAATTTTAAATTATAGGACTTATACTGCTAATAAAAAATCTATAAATTCGGGAATTCGTTGCACAAATTGCAGCAAAATATTAAATCACAAACCAAAATGCGAAATGTTAGAATTTTAGGACTGAAATTGCTATAGCATTAAAACATAAAACAAGCAGAACTAATATTGCAATTTAGCCTTTCTATATTATGCAATTGTTTGATCAAATTTACCTGTACATCAGAACCCACCGACAACCCTTCACTATATTAGGAAGAGACGCCTCGAAAAAATCGAACAAATCTTGAGAAATAAAAAGAGAATCTTCCAGAAAGCTCGGAACGGGTTTCTCGAAAGAATGTGGGGCCACAGCATCTTCAAATACATCCGAGCCGCTACTACTGCTTGTCCCGGACCCTGGTTCGGTTTCTAAATGACATTCTTTGTCCAATGGTTTATTTTTCAATGAAAAAGATTTCCTTTTCCACTTAAACGAGCTTGAGTCAGTAAATTTCGGCTCATTATTAGCCTCATTTCCCTGTGCTTTTGTCCTGATCCAGTCGAAACTAGCCGAAGGGAGAATGAAGGACAGTACAGAAGATGGTGATTTCTCGGTTTTCACATGTTGCCTGACCTACACATATAAAAGCCCACGTGTCATAAATACAACAAAGTGCACATGTACGGAAAATCGGCCACAGATAATTAAAGAGAATGAAAGTAGCATTACATACAAATATGAAATGGGGTATTGAAGCATTTGAAATACAAAGCAAATTTCCTTTTTTAATAAAGCAAATTTTAAAAATTATACGAAATAAGGCATTGAAGCATTTGAAATACAAAATATAACTAACTAGCAGCAATGAGAGAACTACAAGCAAGAAATCATAAACATGATCATGAAATGCTGCTTCTAATTAGCTTATCACACCAATGGCTATTTACTAACAATGTGTTTATTTATCCCTTTTCAGATGGGCAAAACGAAATCTTGTTAAACATTCAACCGCAATTAGATAACTTATTAGATCGTATTATTCCACTTAATCACCCAAATGATGAAATTCACCCAGAAAATTAGGGAAATGCAGCTTTTTTCCACCCCCAACACAAGCTCTCAACTTTTTTCATTTAACAACAATATATATTTCAATGAATCAATCTAACATTTAAACTTAAAGAAAAAAAAAAAAAATCTTGCCATGCCTTTGTCAATTATATCAGTATCTCTGTTCTATTATAAATCACAGCTAACTAATCAGCACAACACAAATAAAAATTGCAAATTTAACCACACAGCACAACCATCTAACCAAAGCTAATCTCGAAGCACAATCACATTGGACCCAAATCCGAAAAACAAACAGTATAAAACCTTTAATGGGACTCTGAAAAATCAAATCAAAAATTAACTTTAATCGAATCCACCATTCATCAAAAAAGCTCGAGATTAGCTGAAAACATCAAAAGCCCTACATATATTCAAAACAACAAAATAAAATAAAATAAAAAGGAGGCTGGAAAAGGGTACCTCAGGATCTTGATCTGTCGCCTCACGACAAGATTGCGAATCGGAAAATAATTTGGAAACCTTCTCATACACTCTGTCTCTAATACCGTTCATGCCTCTCTTTTTTTTTTAATTATATGTAATTCTCTGGGTCATTGAATGAAAAATAAAATAAAAGTTGATGACAGGAAATTGTTTAGATTTGACGAGTTTGAGAACTCGATGGAGAGAACAAAAGAAGAAAGTAAGAAAGACAGTTCACATTCGGTGAAAGCGGAGGATGATTATTATTTTCTCTTAATTTTTTCATTACACACTACACGCAACAGCCGTGTATTTTTTTATTTTTTATTTAAGAAAACAAAAAGAGAATTTATGTGTCGATTTTTTAGTTATGCTTATTTATTTTATATATCAATTTTTCGTTTTGGTGATTCATAGTTATTTGTACCTCTTAATTCTATGGATTAATTTTTTATCAAATTAATAAATNTCAAAGCATTTGGAAGGACATATAAAAATAATCACATTGTAGATAGTACTAATATAACTCTTTTTTTTTTAATTTGGATCATATTGTTTTGTTTGCTTTATTTAATTAAAATAATATAATTTTAATTATTTTTAATTTAAATAATACTTAACTTTGATTTACTTAACTCAATAATATATTTCTAATTATCATTTGATATAAATGATATTTAAAATCACTACCGATATTTTCGATGTAATGACAGCAAAAGTTCTGAAAAAATAAATAAATATTACTCATTTAGTAATTCTATCAACTATTCTGTCCCAAATTGAAATTTATAAACACCTCCAAATAATATTTTACAACATAATTTTTTGTCTTTTTTATATAAAAGATTTTCAAATGCATGACTTATCACAAAAAGGAGTAAATCATGTTCATATCGTCCAATATTTTATTTATAAAATTATTTTAATATGTTTCTCGCATAACCATAGTAAAAATACGTTTAATATTTTTATTTTATGCAAAGCACGGGTGCTTACTAGTAATTCATTAAATTCCATATAAATATGATATCTTGAGGGACGATTTATTACTTCAGTACTGAGTGTTACGTTAGGGGCTCACTCTTAACGCTGTTTTGCAAGTTAATTTGGCTCGTGGTTCAAAGTGTTCGAGACGAGACAGTTCAACTGTAAATCTTAGTGGGCCGATAATTTGACCATATCACACGTACACCTTCTCGGGGTACACCGAGCCTCATATGCAAACCATGCGCCTGAAAACGAATTGGGATTTTGTCAGCCAATCTTCCAAGAACAACATAAGACCACTGATTATTAACCCCAAAGAGTTTCTTTCAAAAAGTACCCCATTACATCAGAAAACAATACAGCCCCAAAAGGAAGAGTAAAAAATATTTATGACTTATGAGTATTCTTGAATGAAGTCCTACAGCAAGCTTAATCAACACGGCCCAATATTACAATTGGATATAAAAACCCAAATATATAATAACAGTTTTTAATTCCACTGGGCCACATCATGCAGCCCATTTTCTGAGCTTCCCATCACGCCTAGCCCCGACATTCGGCCCTCTATATAACACTAGGATTTCTATTGTGTGTATCGTAAGTCTTACCATTGTTGCCCACCAAAAGATAAGAATAATAAAACTTAATTTAAGTAATATAAATAAATAAATAAAAAAAAAAGAACGCTTGGTAAATGGCGAACAGAAATGAGGATCGGTCTTTCTCTTGATTTTTATTGGGAGTGAATATTCTCTGATCTTCTTACTTATTTCATCTCAGTAAAACGACTTGTTTGGTAATAAGCGGTTAGCTGTTAGCTAATTCTGTCAGAACGTCAGCTGTTTTGACTAGCGGATTTTGTCAATTATTTTGACCAACGGATGATGTTAGCAGTTGGTTATAAAATTATTTGGTAAATTAGTTATTTGTAAATAGCTGTTAACATGCAAAATTACTTAAAAGGACATTCATAAACTTTTAATTTCTTTCTAATGTTAAATTTATAATTACTTAGAAAATGCAAATTATTCATATTTTATATATTGTAAAGTAATTCAAATTAATGTAAAAACAAACACAAATAATAATTAACAACAAACATTAACCCCAGTCTCTTCAAATAAGATACCTATGTTGTGACTAAATCACTTTTTTCTTTTTTTTCTAGTCGCAGGCCTCTTTCATTCTTATTTTTATTACAATTGAAATTATAAAAAAAATGTTGGTTAGTTTAAGGTTATTTTAAGGTAAAATAATAATTTAACTTTAAATTGTAAAAGTAATCCCAGAAAGGCAAAAACCCATGCATAACGGAAAGGTGGACATGTAAAGGTTAAATTGGAACTTGTAAATTTTTTTATTGGACGACCAAGTCCAAATGCTGCTAGTTGCAGCGTTTCTTATTCAGTGGATTGGACAAAAAAAAAGTCAACTTAATCGCTATTAACCAAATACATATTTTTAGTGGATTAATAAAAGTCAAAAAAGCGGCTGAGGTGGTTCGGACATGTCCAACGGAGGCCTCCTGATGCACCGGTGCGTAGGGGAGTTCTACAGCGGGTCGAGGATGTTAAGAGAAGTAGAGGTCGGCCTAAACTCACTTGGGAAGAGTCGGTTAAGAGAGACCTTAAAGATTGGAATATCTCCAAGGATTTAGCGGTGGATAGGAGCGCTTGGAGGCTCGCTATCAACATGCCAGAACCGTGACTTTTGCTCCTTTCTCTCTCTCTCTCTCTCGTTTTTTTTTTTTCGATCTCTTCCTTTTGGTTCGAGTCTTTTTGTGTTTCTCTTGAGTTTCATCTCTAGCCTACCCCGACTTGCTTGGGACTAAAGGCTATGTTGTTGTTGTTGTTGTTGATAAAAGTCAAAACAGCCAAAAACTTAAACCGCTAATTTTTTATCAAAACGCCATTTACAAAACATGGGCAAAATCTTATACTATTTATAGTGAAGTACAACTTTGTATTACTCCCTAATGAAGTACGTCTTTTTGTACTATGTTTAGTAAGTATAATGAGCATTTATTTCTAAGAGAACAAGGCTCCCATCCATATATGTGGGATGCCTTGTTCGGGTGACAAGTACACTGACAAATAGGTGAACTGTTGGAAATTTGGCCCAAGATCTCAGGCCCAAGGAAGCCCCAGCCCAATCCCGTCTGGGCCTGGCCCTCACTTACCCGAATTAATCCATACCGTTGGATTAAGGGATTAAATCCCAACCACTCACTCACACCATAAAAACCTATCTCTATCTCTCCGCCTACACATAGAACAGATTTAACACTCTCGGCTCTCTTGTTCTTCTCGCTGTGACTGAACCTATCTCTCTGTCTGTGAGAACAAAAAGGATCGCTATCTCCATCTGTCTCTTAATCTCTTCGTGACCTTTAGAGTGTGTGAGACGCGAGTGTTACCGTGAGTGCCGTCTAGCCGCCTCTGTGCCGTCGCCGTCGCCCTGCTTCACCTTGCCGGTCCAGCCCTTGTGTGGTGCTTTCCGGCAAGCTGTTGTGAGGAGGAGGCTCTGCGACGAGTGACCAGGTGCGGGGCTCGGGAGTGAGGTGCAGCCCGGGGAACGGGCCGAGGAACCGGGGCTGCCGTACGTTGACCACCACCGAGCCGCTACTTACCGAGGGTGCCGGGCTCAAGGGCTATCTGAGCCGGGAGAGCCGACTTCGTGTCCCTCTCCTTCAAATCGTTCGATTAAAGGGAGTATTTCGTTCATTCTCTTTTATTTCGATTTTCAGCCTTTATCATCTTTGTACTTAGTGTATTATCTATTCGATTATTGTTGTTCGTTAGAACTTAATCGTGTATTTAATCGTAGGCTGAAACGGGCCACTAAAGAAAGTGCTAGGACCAGCCCGGGACTGACAGAGGGCTGTCCGGAAGTCTACTGTAGACGTGCAGCACCTGTAGAGGTCGAGAGGGCTTGCTAGCGGGTCTGTCGAGCTCAAGAGTAGCTTCCGCTGCCAATGAGTCGAGCGGTTGAGTCGGGACGGCCACACAACATGAACAAACGTCTTGTCAATAACCATTGGCATAGTAGCTAGGTGGTATTTAATTTGCTAGGTTGGTTGCTCAGCATTTTAAGTTTTGTTCGGCTCCGCAACAAATGAGTTGTCTTGCAACGTCAATCCCCGTTAATGATTTTATTTATGAATGATTTTATTTACGACGATACAGTTGTATCACACTCGCACTCTATCGAGTCTTCGAGTCGATGAATGCTTTGTTCAGCATCGGATTTTTCTGTTGTACCTATCTTTTGTGTCGTGCCGGGTTAGTGTAGGAATTTTCCTTGATTTCATTAATTCTTTAGTTCAGTCTTTTCATGGTGGACATGGAAAATGTGATATTTAGTTCGAACATCAACAATCATATGTCTTTATCATTCCAAAATTTTCATTCTCAAAATCGAACCAAAATAAACTATTTCATATAACATTAGCCATTGTTCCCAATAGACGGCTTACAAATTAGAGAATAGTAGCTTTTCTTTATTACTTAAAAAAGCCATATATTCTACATCCGTTCGGAAAAACAAAAAGAGAGTAAACGAAAAATCACTTAGCGGCGGCGCTCCCCATTTCCACCTTCCCACCGCCACTCTCCGACTTCTTCTTCTTCTTCTCATTCATCACCTTGAGCGTCGACCGCCACCCGAAGAAAGTCCCAAAAAGGCCCTCCATCTCCTCCAGCGTCTTCCCCTGAGTCTCGGGTAGCAATCCGTAAAAGAATAGCCACGCCACGCAAGCAATCCCCGTGTAGAGGAAGAACGCCCCTCCAATGGTGATCCCCCTCGCCAGGGACAAAAACGTCATCGACACCACCCCACTCGTCACCCGGTTCGTTGCCACCCCCATGCTGCACCCCTGCGCCCTTAGCTTCAACGGGAAAATCTCCGAGCTGTAGACCCACGTGATTGGGCCCATCCCGATCGAGAAGAACGCCACGTAGGACAAAACCGCCGCGATGCACAACGCGATGGCCCACACGAGCTTGTGGTCCGAGTGGTCAACAAAGGTGAGCCCGATCGAAAGGCCCAACATCGACAGAATCATCCCCGCCACGCTGGACAAAAGCAAGGGCCGACGCCCGATCTTGTCGAGAAAGAATGTGGCGACGAGGATGAAGACGGTCTTAACGAAGCCGACGGCCATGGTGGCGAGGAGCTGGTCTCTGTCCTGAGTGACGCCGGCGCGCTTGAAGATCTCGGGGCTGTAGAGGACGACGGTGTCGATGCCGGAGGCCTGCTGGAAAAAGTGGATGCCGATGCCGCAGAGGAGGATGTGGCGGACGGCGGGGGTCGGGCGGACGAGGAGGTCGCGCCAGACGCCGCCGCCGTGGTTGTCGCAGTTGGGGACGGGGACGACGTCGTCGGTGCAGGCGGCGGGGATGCCGGCGGCCTCCTTGATATCGGCGAGGCGGAGTCGGGACTCCTCGAGGGAGTCGGAGGTCTTGTCGAGGACGCGGCGGGCTTCGCCGAGGCGGCCTTGGAGGACGAGCCAGCGGGGGGACTCCGGCATGGCGAGGACGGAGGCGGCGATGAGGACGGAGGGGACGGCGCCGATGCCGAGCATGAAGCGCCACCCGAGGTGGGTGGGGAGCTTGGAGAAGGCGAAGTTAGAGACGTAGCCGAGCAAGATACCTGAAACGAAATGTAATGATTAAAATATTATATTATCATTGAATTAATTAATAGTGATGTGTCAGTTTGAAAACGCAAGTGCGTGGGGCGAAGAAATTACAACTCATGTTCCCATTGCAAGTTGCGGGCATGACATAATTGTTGGACCCCATGAAATTGATTTTTTTCTCAATATTTATAANGTTTTGTAGATAGCAGAAATCACAAATTATTAAATGTGTCAAACCTGTCACCTATTTAAAAACTTATATTATAACTAATGTTGCGTGTTTCAAGACATTCCTAATTAAATGGATTTAATATATGATAGAATCTTTCACTTAATTAAAGTTTGTTCGTTTGAATAATTGCGTAGCATAACACTAATTTAAAATAATACAAACAAAATATTTTTTTTAAAGATTCCCCAACATTTGTCATATCATTCAGCATATTATAAAACTATTAAGGTCACACAATATTACAAATTAGTAAGATTATTATTAGGCTCTAAGGATTTTATATACATATTTTTCAACAAATATGAATATTTTTATACTGAATCAGGGACGGATCCACATTGTGCAAAGGGGGGGCTATTGTCCCCCCCCAAACTTTTAATTTTGCTTAATATATATGTATGTATTTATGTTCTAAGACTTTTTAAAAAAATTTAATATATAGATATATTATTGATTAAACATTTATAAAGCATATTCAATTTATACTCATTCCTATAATTATTACAAATTATTGTAGAGCACTATTTACTAATTAGTTTGAACTACATCATATTTTGTAAGTACCCTTTCAACAATGTTTTATAATATTTTTTTGTGTTTGATCTTAAACAATTAAATAATTAAAGAGTAAGATTGGAATAGAAGAACATGCAACACATGCAATTCAATGGTTCGAAAGTGAATTACTATAACTATTAATACTGCATTAGACCATCTTTAGGATACTTAATAGTTAAACAACCACACTCTTCCAACAAATACATTTATACTTTAATACTTAAATGTCATACGTTATAGTGCAATACAAATAGAAGTATGACATTTCATAGTATAACGATGTATTTTTCATAGGGGAATATATCTGTCTACCAATTATGCAGCCTACCAGTTATAGCAGTTATGTTAATTTTGAACCAAACATCAATGAGTTTTGTGAATGTAAAGAATGTTGAGCATTTAAACTACCAAATTTAAGAAGTTATGTATTTTGTAGTGCAACTTATTAATTATTTTATTCATTTTAAATGCAATTTACTCCTATATATATATATATATGATAGTTTAATAAAATGAATCAGATCAACTAGACTATTTAATAAATAAACAAAAATATGAGCACAAATTCGACTTGTGTAAGCTTCAATCTACTCGATTTGTTTAATAAGAAAGTAGAATAGTCGTTCTAGCTTGGCTCATTTAAATATATGAATGATATGAAATTAAATTTTCACGAATTTGAAAAAACACAATCCAGTTCCAATAATTACTTTGGCCCCTCCCAATTTTTTTTCCTAGATCCGCCCCTGTACTGAACTATTAATATTCTATGCAACATGTAAAAGTATATCATTTTATAATATAAAAATATGCATTTTTTTCAAGTATAGTCAGACCGATTCATACGAATATTTGTAATTATAATATTAAAATAATTATATATTTATATATAAAGTATTGTGTGAAAGTGACCATCATAATTCTTGTATAATAACACGGTCTAACTGGCCGGTCGATCAGTCATATTAAAAATTTATATTTATGTTAAATAATATCATATTTTATTTATATTATTTCTTATTACAATATATACTCTCGTGATGCCTTGACCATTCACCAGACACCAATCAAACAAGAATTATTTCGTTTGACAAATTAATTAGTTGAATAATTTTCAACAATCAATGATTCAATCATGTTACCTTTGGCAGTGAGCTATTCCTATGGATCATATATTCAAGAAATTGCACGAAAGCGACATGTAATAAAACAAAACAAAAAAATAAAATAAAATAAAATAAAATTACGTAAAGCAATAAAATAATACGGGAATAATTAGCCTAAGAAACAATAANATTAATGAACACCTCAGGGAAAGAAGTGAGAAAACCGCGGGACGACGCCGGCGCCACCTCAGCAGTGTAAACCGGCGCAATCATCAGAGCATATCCGACTCCGATTCCGGCCACAAACCGGCCGACCATCAGAAAGGCGTAATTTGTGGCAAATCCCATGAGGAGGGCTCCGGCGAAGAATATTGCTCCGGCGAAGATTATGGTGTACCGGCGGCCGATCCAGTCGGAGGTCCGGCCGGCGGCGGCTGAGCCGATTAATGAATACAAGTTCAGTATTCCCATTATAACCTCCTTTTGCACGTCGGTCATGTGGATGGTTTTTTGGATGTAGATTATGGCCCCACTCATTACTCCTATATCTGCACTTAATACAATGTTTTTAATGTGAGAAAATAAATAATAAATAATAAAAAAAAAAGTTGTAGACCTCCTGGATTCAAATTTGGTTAGTTGATTGATCTGATTAAACTGTTTTATTAGTATAAGTCTGCCGTCTGAAAAAAGTATGATTTTTCTTTATTTTGAAAAATAGATATGTAGGTAATTTCGAATTACAACGAACTAACTTTTTATCCTAGATATGTATGTATATATACACCAACATGTGTGTGTGATAGTGAGTATGAGTGGTAAAAGACAAATTTCAATTTTTATTTATGAAAAAAGGTTTAATAGATAATCTCTAGCTAGTTGTACTTGAAAAAAAAAAATCATTCCTCAAAATTTACTATTCTCTCATATTTTTACTGTTTGTCGTTTTGAGAATCATGTTAATTAAGAAATTTTTTCTTACCAATATTAATCTTATTTAATGAATATTATGAGAAATAATGCAGATGACATATGAAGAAGAGAGACAGTGTATTAGATGAATGGTTAAAGTTGGAAAAATACGAGCAAAATAGTCAAAACGATATTTATTTAATTACTGATCAATTAAACCAAAATGACAAATAATAAAAATAGGAGAGAGAACTTATTATTATTACATGATGACTGGATTATGTTTATAAGGTAGCAAGATAATATGTGTTATTACTAAAATTAGTGAATTCATACCATATCCGAGTAAGATGGAAGTCATAGACGCGAGGAAAGAACAAGCCAGAGCATATTTGTTTCTTTTCGGTTTTTTGGGCGGGTCGAAAGCCGGTATAATCGGTAACTGTGATTGGTCGGTGGAGACAAAGTTCTTCTCACCGGCCATATTAATTTTTCAGGCAAACTTTTTTGGTTGTATTTTGTGTTAGGTTATATGAGCCGGAGATTGGGTTTTAAGGATGAGAAATGAATGTGTGTGAGCAAAATGAACTTAAACGAGAATTTTTGTTTAGTGTTACTGTGAATTGAGTAGTGTGTGTTTGTGTATATATATATATATAGAAGATAATAGACAGGAGAATTTTGTGAAAATATTTAATTCAATCCACTTGACTAGAATTAGATGAGTTAGCTCAGTGCCAAAATAATAAGTCAATGGTCGTTTTTGGCCTTTTTTGCCAGCTTTTTAATTACTTCATTTGTCACTTGTGTGAATAATTGGGGTTATCATTCAGCATTTGTAGTTTGCTTGCTTTATAAAAATGTTATGATTAACTATATATTACTTTGAGGGAAAATTTTAAAATAGTCTTGTGATTTGGGTGATTTGTAAATATTTTGGTTAGATATCCAAACTGTGGCAGGATATTTTTAAATTGACGAACAGCTTGATTGTAATTTTGACCGAATATTCCAATTGGGTTTTTGAAATTTAATAAGACACGTACACATGCGTGTCCGTTTTAATAAGAATCAATTTTATACTGAAATTTTCGATCAAAAAGAGGCATTTATGTACACATGCACCATTAAATTTCCAACAAACATTGTCCTTAAATTATTAAATTTTTTTTAAAAAAAACCATCGGCCGGAATTATTCTCTAGAAAAAGGTCAGTTTTAAAAAATATCAGCTTATATTTAGATATCGTACCAAAATTAGTTTTAAATTGATCAGTTTTAAAAATTGTTAATTAATTAAATTTTAATAAAATTATTTTTGATACACTAAACAATCCCCTATTAAAATTGTCTTGTACCGTAGCTTCATGAAATTCATATTCTTAGACGGAAGTATGTTGATTGACATATAAGTAAATCATCAAATTCAAATTTATGTTGAGTGACATAAAGGTTTTTTTTTTTCATATTACTATCATTTTATTAGAATTTTTTTTTTTTAATGGAGGAGTTAAGTTGATCAGAGCTATTTTGAGACGAGGCCACAGGACAAGGGCACGTGTTGGGGTTTGGGAGTATATTTTTCATGTTAAAAAGAAAAATAGATAAATTAAAATTATTTATTTTATACCTTTTCAATTAAGTTAGTTTTTATTACATAAGAAAGCAATATATGACACTTTTAAAAGTGAACCCTCGTAAGTTAATTAAATCAAACTACCAACTGTAGCAAGCAATTTATTTTTTTATCAGAAAATGAAGATAAATAAAAAGAAAAGGAGCCCGTGTGATTGGGAGGTCAACAATGATAGGCATATAACCTTGAAATATATCCACAGATGGGCGGTTCACTTTTATTATAGTCAAAATTGGGTATATAATCACACCTATTTAATAACTTTCTATATTTTTAAATTAAAATATCATGATTTAAAAATAATATAAACAAAAGTACGACATTTTCATAACATAATTATGTATTTTATTTAAAGGTGTATGACGAATCGACCTGCTAACTATTAATAGTTTCACAAAAGATATTATGTAGAAAAATCACAAATGATATATGTCAACCTCATATAAATATTTGTGTTTTCTAAGTTGGAAATAAGATTATCTAACATTAGACAACTGTTGCTGCACATCTTGGTTGTCGTGCGCAGCAACGAGCTCAGTCTCGACAGGCGGAGGCGGTCACTCTCTGAAGGGATCCACCTCCGATATGGTCTCCTCGCCGTCTGTATCGCCGGGCGGCGGTTGTGGTGATAGCCGACGGGGCGCCCGGCCTGGACCACGATCTTCACTTCCTCCGTGAACTCCCCCGCGCACACCCCGGTCGTCGGCGGCACGGTTTATCTGCAAATCCCAGACCTCGTTGTTAAGCGTCAAATACAAATTCTCGATCCCCGTTGAAAGATCTACAAACCAATCCGTGAAACGCACGTCCAACTGTAAATCGGTAGTCGATCTGTTGAAACCGATCGTTGAAAATTGCATCACATCGTTTGTTTGCGGCATCTTGTCGTCCCGGCGGCATCGCGAATCGTACTGACTGCTGATACCAACTGATGTAGGGAAGCGTACGAATGGGAAGGATAAAACGAACGAGATACTCTCTCGATAAAACCCACAATCAAATCATATTCTTATTCATAATCAACTCTCCTAATAACAAAGCACAAGAGCCATTTAAATAAGACTCTTCAACTAAATCCTAGCTTATTCTCCAAGCTAACTAATAATAATAATAATAATAATAATAATAATAATAATAATAATAATAATATAATAACCCTAATTATTCTGCATCAACAACTCAACATAAAAATTTAGGGTGTGATTAGATATGAATTCATCTAGTAAAAAATCAATCAAAACTCAAATTTAACACAACTCCATTATATTCTATATTATCCATATTCTATAATGACAATAATTCCCGCATAATTTAATAATACTAATCAATTATCCTTATACATCACATCAACTTATTTCACTATTCATCTATTCACATAATTTTAACTAAACATCACTTCATATAATCTCTCTTATACTTTTAAATCAAATCAATTTCAATTATTTTATTTTAAATATTATTTTAATATAAATTCAAACTCCCACTAACAATTAATCATATCAATTTTTTAAAATTAACTATAGTTAACAAAATAACCAATAAAAAACCAATCAAATTCATATCCAATCACACCCTTACTTGTTTCTAATTTTAGATTAAATAATATAATGACAATAATTGGACATGAACAATAATTGTAATATTAGAAATAACCCTAATAATGACACTAACAAATTATTATTTCAAACACACACACACGCACAAAAAGAAAGAAAGCAATAAGATATTGATTTTTTCCATTAAGTGGTAGTTAAGCTATGCTACTAATATACCCTTATCAAGCTCCCATCAATTCAAGTGGCGTGTATATACACACTTCTCATATTGCCGACCTCACTTTATATATATATATATATATATATGAAATATCAAACTTTTGTTCAACGTTTAGATTTTCATAAGAAAAGAGCTAAAAGGTAATCTAAAATATGAAAAGCTAATGTCACTCATTAATTAATTAAGAAAAATATATAACTAGCTAAATGCACTCGTTCTTCTACCATATTTCATTTTTATATCTATTGCTGTATGGTTTGGTGTGTCCATTTGCTTATTTTATAAGGCATTACATACATAAAGTAATAAAATAATATTGATGTTAGGCTGTTTAATGGTTATGCAGTCATATGTTTCGTTTACGTATTTTTATATTCAAATGTCATACATTAAAAAATATGTAAACAAAAGTATTATTATTATTTTTTTAAATAAAATGATTTTCTAACCATTATGTAGCCAAACAATAAAAAATGTGTGCATACACAATGACTTTGTGATTGATGGATTATGAAATCTTGATAAATGCTCAATGTATCCATATTGAATGTGTTGCCATTTTCATAACTAAATTATTGCTATCATATAAGTACTCACTCATTTTTAATAGCTTCCAATTAATCTTAGCTCGGAATCAGCTCAATCTTTTTTTTCTTCTTTTTCTTTTCGAAAATCGAGTTGACTTAGGGTGTTCAGATATTCAGTTTGAGCTACATGCTATATATAAGCTATAAAATTTTTGGAGCATGCATCAATATTTCTTTATATCATGGTGATGGAATTATTTTAATTCTAGTTAAGGAACACTTAGGGAGTTTTTGGATACAAATATATCCGTTCGAAACATGTTTTTGTTTAATTGGAGTTAATTTTAAAAAAATTGGTATCGTAATTGTTTGTGGAATTTTGAATTTATATTAAAATAATATTTAAAATAAAATAATTAAAGTTGATGTAAAAGTAGGACATAGATGATGTGAAGTAATAGTTAGTTAAAATTATATGAGTAGATGAATAGTGAATTAAAGTTCATGTGATGTGTAAGAATAATTTATTAATATTATTTAATTATATTGATAATATTGAAAATAGAGAGGTATAGTTAAAATTAAATTAAATTTTGTTATGAATTGAAATAATTTATAAACAAACGCACCCTAGAAAGACAAATTAAATGATGATTAATTACATGATTTTTGAGCCGTGATTGAAAATATGTTGAACTCGGACTTCGACCTGACTCGAGTAACATCTCTAGAAACGGGATAATATATAGTTGAGTGTCGTGGTTAACTCTTCAATTTGACTAAGCTTTAAAATGATTTCATTCACATTTTCATTAAGATCTACACTAAGGCAATCTTACATAAAACAAAATTGGAGAAATAAAATATGTGGTTAGTTGGTGTGATTAAGAAATTTGGAATTATTTTTCTTCAAGTTTATTCTATTTTTCCGTATCTCTTGGCTTTGATTCTTTGAAACGTATGGGTGCAAATAATTAATGTCTACTTGCCCTCTTCCAATAATTACAAGAAAAAATTGCCCACACTTTTCTGAGTGATGTTGGCTTGTTTGGCCAAAACAAATCTTTTGACATTTTCAACATGAGAAATTGTGGAACAGATTAAATTTTTTCAACACTTTTGAGTCAGAAAAAATTGACAATTCCAATAAAAGTAGGATTGCAATAAAAGAAAAAAAAGTATTTAGAATTACTAAATATATCTCTTCTCGCTGTAATGAGGCAAATGTATGCATTTCGATCAGGGTTGCATTCTATGGTTACAGACTTATAGTTCTATCATATATGTCTTCTTCACTCTTTAAAAATTTTATTTTACATTATTAGGAAAAAATTATGATGGTCCACCCGATCAACTGTTAGACCACACATTTTTGTGTATAGAAATATTTGTTGTGTGAGGCACTATTTTTATTTTTATTTTTATTTTACTGCATTGAAATAGCTTTCATTGGTGCGAATAAATTTGTAATTGATTTTGAAGTTTGTGATGACAAAAAAGTTGAATAATGTATCTGAATAATTTATAAAAGAATTCAAACTTAGAA